AGAAAACATAGAGTGTATGCTTCAAGGACATTGATCTCTATAAAGATTTTATGAATAAGACCTCAAAAGCACAGGCAACAAAAACAAAAATAAACAAATGAGATTATGTAAAACTAAAAAGCTTCTGCACAGCAAAGGAAACAATCTGCGGAGTGAAAAGGCAACCTATAGAACGGGAAAAATATTTGCAAACTATTCATCTGCCAGGAGGTTAATATACAGAATATACAAGGAATTGAAACATCTCAAAAGCAAAAAAACCCCAAACAATCTTATTAAAAAATAGGCAAATGATCTGAACAGACATTTCTCAAAAGAAGACATACAAATGGCTGAAAAAATGTATGAAAAAATGTTCAACATCACTAATCATCAGGGAAATACAAATTAAAGCCACAATGAAGTATCATACCCCCCTACATAGGATGGCTATTACCAAAAAGACAAAAAATAACAAATGCAAGTGAGGATGCAGAGAAAAGGGAACTCTTACACATTGTTGGTGGGAATGTAAACTAATATAACCACTATGGAGAACAGTATGGAGGTTTCTCAAAAAACTACCACATAATCCAGGAATCCCACTACTGGGCATTTACCCAAAGGAAAGGAAATCAGTGTATCGACAAGACATCTTCACCCCCATGTTTACTGCAGCACTTTTCAAAATAGCTGATATATGGAATCAACCCAATTGTCTAGCAACAGATGAACAGATAAATAAAATTTGGTATATATACACAACAGAATACTATTCAGTCATAAAAAGAATGATATCCTGTCATTCATGGCAACATGGGTGGGACTGGAGGACAATATAAGTGAAATAAGCCAGGAACAGAAAGTTAAACACTGCATGTTCTCTTTCATATACGGAAGCTAAAGAAAAGTTGATCTCATAGAAGTGAAAAGTAGAATAGAAGATACTAGAGGCTGAGAACGGTATGTGGAAGGGAGGGATAGGGAGAGATTTGTCAAAGGATACAAAATTACAACCAGATAGGAGGAATAAATTCCGGTGTTCCATAGCATTGCAGGATGAATACAATTAACAATAATATATTATATAGTTCCAAATAACTAGAAGAAGGATATTGAATGTTCTCAGCACAAAGAAATGATAAATGTTTGAGACAATGGATATGCTAATTACCCATATCTAATCACTATACATTTTATGTATTGAAACATCACCATGTACCCCATAAATATGTACAATTATTATGTATCAATAAAAAAGGCATAGACTTTGCATAAACTTACACACATCCTCTTGTATACTTTAAATCATCTCTAGATTACTTATAATACCTAATACAATGTAAATGCTTTGTAAGTAGTTGTTATACTGTACTTTTAAAATTTGTTTTATTTATTTATCTATTTTCGAGACAGAGTCTCGCTCTGTTGCCCTGGGTAGAGTGCAGTGGCCTCATAATAGCTCACTGCTACCTCAAACTCCTGGGCTCAAGCGATCCTCCTGCCTCAGCCTCCCGAGTAGCTGTGACTACAGGCAGGTACCATGATGCCTGGCTAATTTTTTTATTTTCAGTAGAGACAGGGTCTCGCTCTTACTTAGGCTGGTCTTGAACTCCTGAGCTCAAGCAATTTTCCTACCTCAGACTCCTAGAGTACTAGGATTATAGATGTAAGCCACCTCACCTGGCCCTTATATTATTTTTTTTACTGTATTTTTATTTTTAGTTTTTTTCAAGTGTTTTTGATCTGCAGTTGGTTGAATCCACAGATGCCGGACCCACAGATACAGAGGGCTGAATGTGCTATTTATTAACCCAGTTTATAGAATGGGGCACACAGATTTAGAGAAGTTAACTAATGTTCTTAAAGTGTTATAGGTATTAAATGATAAGACTGGGACATGAACTAAGGTTTGTCAATGGCGAAAGGTGGAGTTCAGTTCCAACATCAGGTTTACCTGCCTCCAAATCCCCCATAAATCTCTTGTCTCCTCACTGTGGCAGCCTGGAGTGGTCTCCAATTGGGTTGCAGCCTGCAGTGGCTTTGGTTTCCCCTCTGAAGAGGTAAGGCCAGAGGTCAGTGCCCAGCTCCAAGGCACTGATTTAGGAGGCTGAGGGAGAAGGGTGGATAATTAAACCTGTGGCTCCAGGGGAGGAGCCTGAGGAGATTCCCAGATGAGAGTCATTTCTAAGGCCTCAAAGGAGAAACAAAGAGAAACTCAGAAGAACTTGCCTGTCCCTTAAAAGGGGCCCAGGGAGAGGGCTGGGTGGAGGTGACAGTGTACTTACATTTTCATCTTTATGGCTCTTGGTAATTCTCGCAGAGCAGCCACCTCTACTAAGGGATTTCCCTCATTTTACCGATAAGCCATTAGAGGCCCAGAGAGAGTAAATCAGATTTTAGGTCAGGCTCAAAGAGGGGCACAGACAGGCATACACTGGTATTACTGACTAGATGACCTGGGGCTCAGCTAGAAGGGGCTCTTGCATTTGGGGGTTACATGGACACTTAGGGGTTACCCAAAGTCAGGAAAGGACACGGGTGACATTGGGAGAGCCCAGGGGTCAAGACAGGGACCTGGTTTAGGGGCAATGTGTGTGTGTGTGTGGGTGTGTGAGAGAGAGTGTATGTGTATGCACATGTATGTGTGCCTACGCATGTCCCTGCACGCCAAGATTGGTGAGGTATTTACTTCCCTAGTCTGGGCGGCTCAAAAGCTAGGGCAGGAGGTGAGTGCAGTGTGCACTCTGCTGTGAAAACCTGGGGACCACAGGAGGGAAGGGCTGGCTCCTCCAGGGGGCACCACCAGTTTGTCCTCTGAAATTTGGAAAGAGCAGGACTGAAAAAGCTCCTTTTTCCCTCTTTTTCTGCCTCCTTTGGATTTTATTTTGTTTTATGATTTTATTTTATCTCCTTTGTCGGTTTATTAGCTGTTCCTTTGTTGTATTATTTTAGTGTTGTATTATTTTAGCTTTAGGGTTTATAGTACACATCTTTAATTTAACACAGTCTATCTTCAAGTAATGTTGTGCCACTTCTCAGATAGTATGGGATCCTTACAGGACACTTTCATTTCCCCCATCAGTGTGTTATCATTGCTATATGTTTTATTTCTGCATTAATTATAAACCCCACAATATCTTATTTTGGGGGATTTTAAACAGCCTATTATATCCTAAAGAGATTTAGAAAAACATGACAAAAATCAATATTATGTTTGCAAAATTCATTTATGTTTTCATATGTAACTGTCATTTATTTTGTTATTGATAGCATTCCAATGTATGAATGAGTTTCACTCATGTTTTCTTCCAGGAGTTTTATAATTCCAGGTCTTATGTTTAAACCTTTAATCCATTTTGAGTTGATTTTTGTGTGTGGCATAAGGGTCCAATTTCATTCTTTTGCATGAAGATATCTAATTTTCCCACACCGTTTGTTTAAGAGACTGTTTTTTCCCTATTGTGTATTCTTGGCACTCTTGTTAAAGATAAGTTGGCTGTATATGCATGAGTTTATTTCTGGGGTTTCTATTCTGTTTCACTGGTTTATATGTCTATTTTTATGCCAATACTATCCTATTTTAGTTACAATAGCTTTGTAATATATTTTGAAATCAGGAAGTGCGATGGCTCCAATTTTATTTTTCTTTCTCAAGGATTACTTTGGCTGTTTGGGGTCTTTTGCAGTTCATATAAATTTTAGAATTGTTTTTCTATTTCTATAAAAAATGTCATTGGGATTTTGATAGGAATTGTTTTGAATCTGTAGATAGATTGGGTAGTAGGGACATTTTAACAATAGTAAGTCTTCTAAACCATGAATGCAAGATGTCCTTTCATTTATTGTGTCTACTTTAATTTTTTTCTATTGTCTTTCTCTCCTTACCCGAAATGGTGGATCTCCACCTCCACGAGGGCATCTGTAGCTGTTTCCACGTGTAAGAGTAGTAAGAGGTGTAAGAAGAGAGGTACTTGCCTTTCAAAAGTGTGGGACTGAGTTTACACAACTTAAGTCAAGATACGATCACTTATAAAAAACAGATAAAGTCTGATAACAAATCAGAATTTTTCAAACAAAGATTAGATACCAAACTCCCTACTTTAGAGATCTTCCCTTCTGATGGTGTGTCTCTGTTTGTATAGATGTGCACAAGGCCCCAGAGGTAGCACAGCTCCTCATCACACAGATTCGGACAGAGCGCAGGAGAAATCGGTCCGTTCTCCAGAAATCCCCTTGCGAGTGGGAGTGGGGGGAGATTTCTGCGCAGGTGGGTGTCTGGGCCACCAGCCAATGCCAACGTTGGTGCAGAGTCCTCCAAGGCCCTGCTGCTGGTGGAGGGTCTCGCCAGCTTTTGGGCGTGCCCCTGCCTGTCCCCTCCTTACTCCTGGGCACACTTCTTCTCCTAGGCTCTAGGAAGCCTTGGGAGCACAACCGAGAAATGGTTAATGGAACAAAAAGGAGAATTATGAATCATGAAAATATGTGCTTATTATTATTATTTTAAGATTCACACTTTTCTGAGTAAAATACACTAAAATCTCACATGAAGTCTTTTTAAAGCACCAAGTCTCTGACTCTTAGACTCATGGCACCCAGAGGGCAGATCTGGCGAAAATGTTAACAACGTATTTATGAATACTGTCCTTCTATTATTTTACCACTTGAGAGTCTTATGCTTGTGAAATGGAAAATAGTTTCTTTTATAGTGGAGCAAAAGAATAAAGGTGCATGTGTGGGCTTCTTTGGTCTGTCTGTTGCAAACACATCAGAGCTGAAAGGATCCCACCAAAAATAACAATGTTCATAAACCCAAACCCAAACCCAAACCCGAACACGTGCCTAAGTCTCTGAGTCACTGGCACCTGATCAGTCATCAAGATCCTCCAAACATATAAACAACAGACAATTTATAAGGTCCAGATTAAATGTGGATATGACCATGGGGACATTAAAATCAAATCAATGTGCTCCAACTTATTGCTGAGACAGCGCAGGTCCTGGTGCCAGCGGGAGCGTCCTCATCCCCTGACTTCCTGGCCTGAGACGAGGTCTTCTTCAGTGAGGTCCTGGGAATTCCTGAACATCAGGATAGAATTATAAATCTTCAGTGCTGGACCCAATTTGATCTTCATGACTTTGACAATGTCTGTCTGTGTCAGGAGCAGGAAAGCTTTGTCATCAATCTGCTCTTTCTTAAAGCACTTAGCATGCTCGTCACAGCCCAGAAGAGACTGTACAAACTCAGCCACCTCATCCACCGTCCACCGGGCCACCTGGGCTTGCAGTGCTGCTCCCTGCCGAGGGGAAGGTCCCAGAAAAGGCGGGCAGACACGGCTGACATGAAGACCGACTGGTGAAGTGCCTGCTGCGTCTGCCCAGCCGAGTACTCTCTGAAGAGATTATCCAAGTCAATATCTTCTTTTCCTTTGATTTTCAAACACTTTGCCTGCTGTACAAGTCTGGGCTGACTGTTCACCTTTTCATGTTTTCCATTGAATTTCAAACTACAGAGGTTTTTCGATTTTGAATATGAAGAATCTGATTCCAAATTTGCCTGTGTTTCTTCTCTCAGAAGATCAAGAAGTGTTGCCTCCTTTTTCAAATTCATGTCCGAATATGGGCAGCCGAAAGCACTGTGATGTCCTGAATAACGTGGACCACGGATATGGCCTATTCCTCGGCATCCTGGAGTAGGACAAACAGCTTGACCTGGAAGGATTTTCACATCATTTGCTCGCTGTGGCACTTCCAGGGGATGTCCTGTGACATCGCACCACCTGACTGGGTGGATGTCAGGGCTGTCTGCCTCTACCCAGTAGTCATACTTATGGTCCTAACCATCAAAATGAACCTTTACTCTTTGGTCATCAACATCTGTAATTGTAGCAACACGAATTAACCTGGGGTTTTCATTTATCCACAACTTCAAGTTTCATATTTGGCAGAAAACCATGAGGCAACCTCATTTTAAAAACTTTGTCAGGAACTGCATTAGTTTGAGTAGCTTCCAGATATTCTGTCCAGGAAAACTTTTCTGGATCAGGATAACCTGGGGGTGCTATCAGAGTTCTTCCATTCTCCTGACACCAACCAACTGGCTGGACATAAGGACTATTGACAACACACCAGTAATCGTAACTATCATCCCAATTCTCAAAATGCACTAGCAAGCGATCTTCAACAATATCTGCTATGGTCGCCACACACACCAAGGAAGGGTTCTTCCTGTCGACGGCCTCCAGCTTCATTCCAACCTGAAATTCTTTAGGCATTGGCCCATTAGAACTTCTGTTTCTGAATAATTTCTTGGGAGCGTTTTGCAATTTGCAGGCCTTCAAGTAATCCACCCAAACAGATTTATCTTTTCTATAACCCTTAGGGATGTGTAATTTATGTTTGGTCTTTTCACACCAGCCTACTGGATGAATGTCAGGGGAACCTGCATTGGCCCAAAAATCATAGCAACTTAAGTAACCATCAAAATGAAGTCTTAGACGGTAACCACACACCTCAGCTACAGAAAGCACACAGAATACAGATGGATGTTGGGGATCAATGCCTTCTAATCTCATTCCAATCTGAAAACCATTTTCATGCTCTGGAAAGGACTGATCCTTAGAAAACAACTCAACAGGTGCTGTGATAGCCTTCTGTTCTTTCAAGTACTGCTCCCAAGACCACGTTTCCTGGGCAGCTGCTGAAGGGACACGATTCAAAGCGGTTGTGCCATTCCTGGGCTTCTTTTCTTCTTCAGCTTGCTCCTTCAGAGAATGGACAAGTAACTTCGAAGATTCCAAGCATCTGTCCTGATCCAAATGCTCTTTGGAATCCATGATAAGCTTCCTTTTCCTGTTGGGCTGTTTCATCGCCACTTCAGCACTCTTCGGCAGTGTTTTTATGGTCTGACAGGTATTCTTGGTAGGAAGTCTCAATCACACAAGGCATAGCACAGCAATCCCGAGGGGAGAGAGCGGAGCGGCGCGGGCCCGCAACGCCGACTGGGCGACAGGCGCGGGCGAGCCGGAGCGCGGAGGTTCGGCTGGCCCAGGCTGCTGCGCCGCTGGCCCAGTGGCGCCCCAATTTTCTTCATTATTGATTTGTGGTTTTTGGTGTACAAGTCTTTCACCTTCTTGATTAAGTTTGTTCGTAAGTATTTTATTCTTTTCAATGCTATTGTAAATTGGATTGTTTTATTAATTTCCTTTTTGCATAGTTTGTTGTTAACATACAGAACTACAACTGATTTTTATATTTAATTTTTTTTTTTTTTTTTGAGACAGAGTCTCACTCTCTTGCCTGGGGTGAGTGCTGTGGCGTTAGCCTAGCTCACAGCAACCTCAAACTCCTGGGCTCAAGCAATCCTACTGTCTCAGCCTCCCGAGTAGCTGGGACCACAGGCACTCGCCACCATGCCTGGCTAATTTTTTCTACACATATTTTTTTAGCTGTCCAGTTAATTTCTTTCCATTTTTTGGTAGAGACGGGGTCTCGCTCTTGCTCAGGCTGGTCTTGAACTCCTGAGCTCAGAACGATCCGCCCGCCTCGGCCTCCCAGAGTGCTAGGATTACAGGCGTGAGCCACCGCGCCCGGCCTTTATATTTAATTTTGTATCCTGTAACTTTCTTGAATTTGTTTATAGTTCCCTGTTCAGTATGACATTGGCTGTGGGTTTGTTGTGTATGGCTTTTATAATTTTAAGATAAGTCCCATTTATGCCTATTTTGTTAAGCGTTCTTATAATAATAGGGAGCTAAATTTTGTCAAATGCTTTTTCTGCATCTATTGAGAGGATAATATAGTCTTTGTTTTTATTTCTATTTATGTGGTGAATTACATTTATAGATTTGTGTATGTTGAACCATCCTTGCATCTCTGAGATGAAGCCCACTTGATTGTGGTGGATTATTTTTTTGATGTGCAGCTGAATTCAGTTTGCTAGGATTTTATTGAGAATTTTTTGCATCTATATTTATAAGTGATATGGGTCTGTAGTTTCCTTTTTTTGTTGAGTTCTTTCCTTGCTTTATCATCAAGGTGATATTGGCTTCATAAAACATGTTGGGGAGGGTTCCTTCCTTCTTGATGTTATGGAATAATTTCTGCAGGTAGATACCATTTCTTCTTTGTAGGTCTGGTAAAATTTGGGTGTGAAACCATCTGGTCCAGGACTTTTTTCTGTTAGAAGATTTTTTATTGCTGCTTCAATATTGGTATGTGATATTGGTCTGTTCAGGAATTCTATTTCTTCCTGATTGAGCCTAGGAAGGCTGTGTGTTTCTAAGAATTTGTCCATTTCACCTGTTTTCAAGTTTATGTACATAGAGATTTTTATAGTATTCAGAGATGATATTTTGTATTTCCATGGTATCAGTTGTGATTTATCCTTTTTCATTCCTCATTGAGATTATGAGTCATTTCTTTTCTACTTCTGGTTTATCTAGTGAGAGGCCTGTCAATTTTGTTTATCTTTTTAAAGAACCAACTTTTTGTTTCATTAATCTTCTGTATAGTTGTTTTATTATTGATTTCAACTAGCTCTGCCCTGATCTTGGTTATTTTCTTTCTTCTGCTGGGTTTGGGATTGGTTTGCTCTTCCTTTTCCAGTTCCTTGAGATGATTAATTAGATAGTTGATTTGTGATCTTTCTGTCTTTTGGATGTAGGCATTTATGGCTATGAACTTTCCTTTCAGGACTGCTTTAGCTGTATCCCACAGATTTTGATAACTTGTGTCCCCTTTATTATTTAGTTCAAAGAATATTTTGATTTCCATCTTAATTTCCTCCTTGACCTGACTATTGTTCAGCAGTAGCTGGTTTAGTTTCCATGACTTTGTATAGAGATGAGTGTTTCTATTGGAATGGATTTCTAATTTTATTCCACCGTGGTCTCAGAAGATGCATGGTATAATTTCTATTTTTTAAAATTTGTTGAGACATGTTTTGTGGCCTGGGATGTGGTCAGTCTTAGAGAATGTCCCATGACCTGATGAGAAGAATGTATATTCAGTGGTTTTAGGGTAGAATGTTCTATAAATTTCTGTTAGGCTCATTTATTCTAGAGTTCTGTTTAAGTTCATCATTTCTTTGTTGATTTTCTTTTTGAAGGATCTGTCCTGTTCTGTCAGAGGAGCGTTAAAATCCACAGCTATTATGATACTGCTGTTTATCATTTTGTTTAGATCAAGTAGGATTTGCTTTATGAATCTGGGTGTACCTGTGTTAGGTGCGTAAATATTTAGAATTGTTATGTCTTCTTGTTGAATTGTTCCCTTTACCATTATATAATGATCATCTTTGTCTTTCTTACTTTGTTGATTTGAAGTCTATGTTATCTGTATGAGAACTCGTACACCAGCTTTCTTTTGGTTTCCATTTGCATGAAATATTATTTTCTATCCCTTCACCTTGAGTCTGAATGAGTCCTTGTGGGTTAGATGTGTTTCCTGGAGACAGCAGAAACTTGGCTTGTATTATTTTTGTCAGTTCAGCCAGCCTGTGTCTCTTGAGTGGGGAGTTCAAGCCATTCATATTTACTGAAAGAATTGATAAGTGGGGTGGATTTCTGTTCTTCCTGTTGAGTAGAACTTTATTACACTGTTTTACCTGAGCTATTATCTCTCAGCTCCAAACCCGCTCTTTCATACTCAGCTTTGTGATACTGGGGATAGGACTCTGCAAACTGCATTTATCTTTTGTCAGGCAGGCACGAACCCTAGAGGATTATTAGAAAGCAGGAGAGAGGCAAAAGGAACTTTCTCTTTTCTGTTTGCTTATTATTATTGTCAGTATCACTCTAATAACAAACCTTCACTCTGGAAACAGCAATTGGTTCCAGTTTACAACTTCTCTGGGCTCACCCAGAACAAGCCCATTGTATCCCATTTGAGGCACCAGCACCTTCTGGGCAGCCCCTACTTCAATGAGAGGTATGCATCCCAGCTTGTTGGGGCCTTTGCTCTAAGCTCTTGAGGTACAGCACCAGCCAAGTAGCACTCCCTACTCAGAGATCTGCATCCTAGCTCTACATAGCTGTTCCTCTGAGCTCTTGATGTGCCAGCAGCATACTGGTAACACATTCTGCTCAGAGGTCTGAGTTTCAGTTCTGCAGAGCCTCTTCTCCAAGCTTCTAGGTTCTGATACTCTCAACCTCTTCCTTTGTTACCTGATCTCTAGGAATGGTAGCGTCTTCCTTCCAACTTTTTTGTTATCTCAAGATTTCCTTTTTGCTTTTTTTCCTTTCGCTTTTTCTTATCTCCACCTTCTATTTAACTAATTCCCTACATTAAATTCTCTGTTGAAATACCCAGTGTAGTTTTTGTTTTCTTGACTGCACCCTGACTGATACAAGTTACTTGGAGACTGTTCATATCCTCATACTAGTTTTCTCTTTAAGAAGATGTTAGGGCAATTTAACTGATACTGTAAAGGTGACACTGGGAGAGAGTGTGATAAGATCTCAGTTGATCTTTTCGGTTTAGTGCTTCCAGTTCTGTGAAACTTTCTCCTAGCCTTTAGAGCAGTGAAGCAGCAAGCAGAACTCAGAGAGGGCTTGCTGTGCTTAGAATTTTCTTCTATAGGTCTGCTTTTGTTCTTTGTTTATCATGCCCACTGAGCAGCTCAGCTGCTGGGTATTAAACTCAGGTCTACTGGGCTCTAACACTCATGCTGTTTCCTCCATATTGAGCAGTCTCCTAGGTGATGGCAGAGTCAGTGAAAGTGAAGGCAAGGCCTTAAGGGACTATATAGAGAACAATAGGACAGAGATATTTTGTTGTATTTTGAAATCACATCTGGATGCTTTGGATGATTATGGGAGAGAGCAGTGCCTGACCTGGAAAGGAATAGCCACCTTAGAATGGAGAGTACTCTGACCCTCTACCTCCCCAATATTTTCCCTAGGGTTATGGTATTTGATTTAATTAAATCAAGAAATATTTATTTTGTTTCTTTTGGAAGCTTGAATGTTTATGTCTGGTGGAGAAAGAGTGTTGGAGTAGCAGGGTACTGGTAGCAAGTATATCCTTAGACCAAGAGTACCCTGAAGATGAAAGCTATTTCTTCCCTAAGAGTGGAGAACATGCTTCTTTGACCATTCTAGTGGTTCTTGAAAGACAGGGACCACAACTACTCCATCAGCCTGTGTGCTCCAGGGCTAGAAGCACTGCCCTATGTGCATTTCCTTCCTTGTACACTGGAAGACTCAAGTCTGGGCAGGATGACTTATATGGTGTTACACTCTCCTGTGTCCATGAACATTGAAAACATGCTTGTTTCTTCTTCTCTTGTGTTCCCCACTCCATGTATTCATAAGAAAAATCAAGAAACATATTTTCCCCCTGTACATAAGAACTACTATACTCATTACATGTTGCTACTTTGAAATGGAACTTATGGGAAGCTTAGGATATAATTGAGGAATACGAGATATTACAGGTACAATTAGGATCTTGCCTGGGGAAAAGGAGAGCAGGCTAGCCCTCATTCCACTATTATTACCCAGGAACTCTCACCTTCTTCCTATCCTGTTTATCTGTTGTTCACTGGCCTTTTTTTGAAGGGTGTCAGACTCTACCACCTACCTCTTGCTATGTGCTATGAGACATACATAGCTGTCCTCTGTGCTGGAGTGCTCAAGTTCCAAGCTTGAAACTCAAAAGGAAACCTTCAATTTGGTTATGTATTATAAGACATAATCACTTACAAGCAATTTCTCTCCTCAATATTTCTCTCAGAAACTGGGGTACTCACATCTTGACACTTTGTTAATGTGTTTTTATAAGTGACTCCCTACTGTTGCCTTAAATTATTGTTTTTCCAGTTTTGTGTCCCCTTCTTTCCTCATCATTGTCATCTAACAGCTTCAGT